GGAATTGCACTCTATAAAAGAAGCTAGGTAGAAGTAGGAGTTTTTCAAGGTCACTCCCTTCTGAAGCCAACTCAATACTCTAAGCAACTCTTCATCTACAAGGAACTTGAAACAGCAAGTGCTTTGCCTTCTCATCTTCTTTTGGAAGTGTGTACACTTAGGTCAAACATCCTAACTTCAGAATCACTCAGCCAATTCTTTCCCAAGCAAATGTGCCGTGGAAGAATCTACTAAAAAGAGATCCAAAGCTAAACAATATTCTACCCCAAAAGAGGTTCTTTGTCTCAGCACCTTGTGTTATCACAGATACTTTTATTTTCAGTGTCAAATCAGGACACTGAATATTCCCCAGCCTCTAAAATGCAGGAATTATGAGCAGAGAGGTTATTGGAAGGGAAAGAAACCTGCAAATCCTGTTAGACTTTGTGCTGCATTCCTAAGGAATTTTCCCACAAAACAATACTATGAGCAGAAGACAGTATGATAGTTCTAAAGGGGAACATTCAGTACAATAAAATCCCAATTGTTCACTCACTATAACTTCCTGAACACATGAAAATACGGGTGCCACCACCCACTAACCATTCCAGTAGCATCCGGACCACTAAACCAAGTCATTTCACTATCCAATTGTGGGTTCCCCATGGTTCTCCTTATAAATACCGTTTATGTAACTGCAATCTTCTGCCTGCCCTCCAGGTCTCTCTTCCAGGTGTGTGGTTGGTCCACAAATATTCATTAAGGGCCTACCAAGTGCCAGGGAAAGGCTTGATCTATGCCCTCAAGGAGCAAATCGGGGGATTAAGTGGTTAAACAAGTAATTATACCATAAGGCAATGAGTGCTATAACCCAGCTCAAAAGAATCCTTTCCCACCAAGTTGCACATACAAGGAACTGGATGTTGAAAAATGGAACAGTTTTCCAGGCAAAGGCAGGAGTTGGGGAAGGCCTTTTTAAGTAAATAAAAAAAAGAAAGTGAATGGCACAAAGGTACCGATTTGATGTGAAACCAGGAAGATATTCAGTTTGGCAAATCGTATGCAATCCCCCTTTTTTTTGAAGACACTCAGCTTCCAAATGCTAATCTTGGGCAGAAATGTCCTGGTATCTGATATCAATTCTTTTCATCACTTATTACCATTACATGTCTCTAGTGTGGAGCTATGGGTTAAGACGCTGGACTGCAATGTCAGTTTGAACTGCAGGGTCAGTGGTTCAAGCTCACCAGCCATTCCTTAGCCTATACAGGGTCGCTATGGGTTGGAATCGACTCGATGACACTTAACAAGTTATCCTGGCAAAAATCAGTCTCACCCACATAACAGAATCCGAGGATATATGTAGTCAAAATAAGTAAATCTAGCTTACTCCAGGTGAGGGTATTGAAGGTTGCATGGTAGAATTCTCACCATCCATGTAGGAGATCTGTTTCAATTCCCAGCTAACACACTTCATGTAAAGTCACTGCCCATCTGTCAGTGGAAGCTTGTGCCTTGTTACCATGCTGAACAAGTTTCCCAGGAGCTTTCAGACTAAGACAGACTACAAAGCAAGCCCTGGTGATCTACTTTAGAAAATCAAACAATGAAAACATTATGCATCATGACAACTAGGTACCATGATACTCTATAAATTAGCAAAGCGGGGAAAAGAACCAACACAGAGGCAGGTATCTCCCTGCAAAAGTCTTCCACTCTCCCCTCCCATCCGTTACTTCTGCTTCCAGCCCTAATATGTACTACTTAGACATCCTCTTCACCTCACCCCACAGGTGAGAGGGCAAGAAGCCACAAGGTATCTGACTACATCCAAACCCTCAAGCCCTTATCACTCCATCTTCCCATGCCCTCCCTAACCTGCAGCCCATTAATAAATTGCCATAGACTTATTGGTTTGGCTTATCCTTAAATTTTAAGTTTTCTGAAACCATGAATAAAATCATATTCCCTACTCCCATCTGTGGAATCCTGGTGTGGCGTAGTAAGATAAAGTACCAAACAGTAAGGTCAATTTGATTCACAAGGTTAAGTTTGATCCTCAAGTTCAATGGTTCAAACCCACCAGCCACTCCTTGAAAACCCTATATAGAGTTGCTATGAGTAGGAACCAGCTCCACAGCACTTAAAACACAATATCTGTATCTGCATCCTCAACTCAGTATAGTCAATGCAAGCACTATTATTTAGGTTTAGAAGATAAAAAGGGGAGAGGGAAAATGAAGTGGAGCTTGGCTTAAAGCTAGAACTAGACTGACCCTATAATTTATAGCCCGCATCCTGACACTCCTGCAAGCCAACTGGGTGCTATTCATATCCAGCAGAGGCAATTTACAAACTAGGCTTCCCCCTGGGAAAACACAGGCAAATGGTCACCCTTGCCGGCAAGGTCACTCCAAATAGAAATGAGTTATATGGGAGCTAGTCACTGATTCCAGGAGATGCCGTTTAAAAGGTCTGCACTAGAGAGAGTTGCTGACTGAAAGGCCAGGAAGTTCTTACTATCTAAGCAAACCCTCAGATAGCCAATTCAACCCCGCTAGTGATTTAGCCTCAGGGCCACAGAGAACAAAAGCTCAGGAAGGCGGCCACAAAATGGAAAAATGCAGCCCCAAATCGCCAGCCTAGGGTAGGAATTCCTCATTAAGAGTTGGACTGCTAGCTCTCCATCTTTCCCAGATGAATCTAACTCAGTTGTCTGGCCCAGGAACATGAAAGCCGAGCTTTTTGGAGTCTCTCCCAATGAGAGCACAGTTCATCTCTTGTTGTTGTTGTTAAGTTCCGTGGACTCAATTCTGATTCATAGTGACCCTGCACAGGGTTTCGGAGGCTGTAAATCTTTACGGAAGCAGAACACTTCATCTTTCTCCCGTAGTTTTGAACTGCTGACCTTGAGGTTGGCAGCCTGACTCATAATCACTACGCTATCAGAGTTAACTTGCCCCAAATCTCCAGAAGCTTCCACAAACCAAACCTAAGGAAGAAATGGTACCTATGTGTATACTTTATTCCACCAAAACTCGAGCTGGGGGGACATGAACCCTGAGAAGGGTTGTCTCTCCCCTCTTGCCTGCCACCCACGGCCTCCAGAAGGCTGAGTCAAGTTCCCAGCAGCCCTGGGCTCATTGGGAAGACAGATTCAGAGACCTCCCTCCCCCACCCTCCAGGAGCAGGTGGTGTCTCCATGGAGAACAAAGACCGTGTTACCTCCCCTAGTCCCACACTCTTAACCACTACCACCACCACCACCACCCACCACTCACAATACAAAAAAAAAAAAAGTTACAGATAGGATACAGGGGAAGATAGAGGAAGGGAAGAAGGATCTGGCCCAAGAAGACCAAGCAGTCCCTGGCCTAGCTGCTCACTGCCTTATCTTTGGGTTGATAGTTGTTGTTAAGTGCCATAAGGACCCTGTATAGGGTTTCCGAGGAGCAGCTGGAGAGTTTGAACAGCCAACCTTGCAGTTCAACCCGACCTTTCAGTCCAGTGCTTATCTTACAACCCCACACCAGGACTCTTAGGTTGATGGTGGAAGTAGTCAAATGCTCCCACCCACCCCCACCAGTCCTCCCCACTTTTTAAGGATATACATTGTATTTCAGAAAGAAGATCTTTCCAAAGCACTATATAAAGAAAGACAGAGGTCACTGAGACTTTACACAATGCAGACAAAAACTGACAAGCAGGCAGCTCTGCCTCAGTCGCCTCACCTTTACAAGAAAACGGCACAATAGGATCTAGTAGTTTATAAGGTTCTTTCTGCTCTAGCATTTAACATCTGATTCTATATATCTATTGAAGAACTGGCCAAGGGAAAACCAGTGAAGACAAGCAGAACTCAATCCAACCTTTATTTTCAACTTTAAATGGGAATAATTTAACTCCTGGTGTGGCACTGTAGGATCAGCACTAAACTGTGAACCACAAGGTGGTCAGTTCAAAACCACCAGCTGCACCTTGAAAACCCTATACAGGGTCACGCTAAGGGTCAGAACCAGCTCCGATGGCACTTAACAACAATTTGACTGGAAATAATGTGCGTGTTTACCACCTCCACTAGTTCCTCTTTTCCTCCATCACTGACCTTCCAGCTTTGCTGATGTCGATCTTAACCACAGATCTTAACCACAGTGTCTCATGAAGCAATAAAACAGCCAAATTAATTTTGCTAATACTGATACTAATGAATAAAATCGGTTTGCAATACCTAGCAATAAGTCTGGCCATAAAAGTGAAATTCACATTACTTATGCGCTAATAAACCATTGCCTGGTTGAAAATAAATCTCTTAATGAAATCATCATGCCCCTAAAATTCTTGCAGTCTTCTCAAACCAATCTCGAAGGAAGATATTTCTGTCCAAAATAGAGTCAGTATCTTGAAAACAGAAGCAAGAGGACTGGATAGAACCTCACTCACTCACACACACACACACACACACACACACACACACCCCAGACACAAATTTAGTCCTTACATACAAACATACACACACATATATATGTACACACACACAAACACCTCTGGCTTTTACTATAGATCAGGATGGTCGATGTGCCTTTCGATTTGCTTACTTATTATTATGGCTGGATATGGTAAATGCGGAAGCCTTTGATGTTGTGTTTAAGTGTACCGCAGGGTACTTGCTTCCATGGTCAACGGTGGATACACTAAAGAAAGCCGCTCTCATCCAGATACAAAATGAAGCTGAACCCTTCCTATACCTGTCGGCAACTAAACCGGTGTGCACACACCCTGGGGAAGTATGCACTGCAACCCGCGAGTTACCTGAAATTCGTTCGCTAAAATCAACAGGAAGAGGATCAATGTAAACTCAAGTGTTGACGGTTGTACTCATGTAGCGGAGGGTGGAAAAACAAAAAAAAATGCAAGCCGGAAAGTCTCCAGTGGTGCTGGCACCTGGGAGGTGGACAGCAAGGGATGGATGCGGGCTGAGGAAGTGCAGGGTGAGGAGGCTGGCGGGTTGCAAAGCTGCTCACCTGTCCGTACACCTTGATGAGCTCAGGCTGCAGGACTGCGCTCCGTCTCCTCCGGAGCTGCTTCTCTTCTGCCCGACTCACCCCACTGGCATCCCCGCGCGCCCACAGCCGCAGTTCGCGCGGGTCGCTCTCCACCACGAGGAAGCCCCGGTCCTGGGGTGAGGGGGAGCCGCCGCTCATCAGTCTCTGCGTCCAGACTTCGCCAAGAGCCCCGGACGGCAGCAGCGCAACCAGGGTAAATAGGAAGGGGAGTCGCGACTCCCTCCTGCTGCTCCCTGTCGCCATGTTCGGGCGAACGCTACTGCAGGTGGCGCCGCCGCCAGGAGAGAATGTGCAGCGCGAGGCCGGCCGAGCGGTCTGGGCCCCGGCCGCGCGCGCCGCTCCCGGAGCTCGAGG